TGAATGGTTGCTCCATCAAAGTCTATCGAGCCCCTCCGCCAGGCTCTTCTGATTATGTGACTCCCTGGGATGGTGGGCCTGTATCTGGACACTGTTGAGCTCCAGCTGGTCTGTAGGTGACTTCCCAAATATGTAATTGAGGATGGCTGAGTAAGCACCATTAATGCCTACAGCTCTCTAAACATCCCCACACCACCGTAGTTAAGACACGCCCCCTTATCACTTTTTTACTGTGCAGAAGTACATAGTTCTAACCAATCACATTTCCATATGCAAAGTGTGTAGCCATCTTGTTCTGACATACCCTACAATGGTAAAAACACACCTTTGCTATACTCCCAAGCATCCTGTACAAAGTTGAGAAATGTATTGATCTGTCTTGTTAAAGGCCCAACTTTATCTTGTTTTTACTGACCTCTATCGCACTTATTGATTTAATGATGCCCAGCATCATTCAACCCCTTTATGTAAGCCCAGACTATGCTCTTTGCAGCCTCCTTTGACCCTGACCTCTACCCCACTTCTTGATTTAATGATGCCCAGCATCATTCAACCCCTTTATGTAAGCCCAGACTATGCTCTTTGCAGCCTCCTTTGACCCTGACCTCTACCCCACTTCTTGATTTAATGATGCCCGGCATCATTCAACCCCTTTATGTAAGCCCAGACTATGCTCTTTGCAGCCTCCTTTGACCCTGACCTCTACCCCACTTCTTGATTTAATGATGCCCGGCATCATTCAATCCCTTTTTGTAAGCCCAGACTATCAATGACACACCGCCATCATGCAGCCTGGGCTTTCAGTGTACAAGATGGTATTTACATGTCACAAGGTGTGTGCCATTCTGTGCATCATTGAAGACCACTTACTGTCTGATGTTGGAAATGAAGAAAAGGACCATGCAGATCACATGACATCTTGGAAGACACCTGGAATTATGAATTTTTTACAGACTAGGTGTTGTTAGGGAGAAGGAATCATGAGAAGAGGTAAGTTGGGGACTGGAATTGAACTTTAACAAAAAAAAAACATGGCCCATTATTTTCCTGCTATGAATGTCATGGGCTTTTCTTTTAACTTATATGGTTCTGACCAGTCATGTGGAACCAGGTCATGGCACATGTGACATTGAAACAAAAAAATACTATCCAGCCATTTATGGTTAAATTGGAAAACATATTCATAGACCCCCTCTTTGGCTAGTAAAATGGTGCTGAACCTGGCTAGTAAAATGGTGCTGAACCTGATTGTGATTAAGTTGATTGACTCAGATGGATTTTTCTGGGTGATTAATACAACCATTAGCAATGGCACTAAAATGGAGGTTTTAATTGCATACATTTGCTAACAAAATGTAGAAGCCATGCTGCCTCTTCCCAGTGCTTCTGTGAAGTGTGGCCCCTAACTCTAATTTAACAGGGGTCCCATCTTTGGAAAAAGCACAACATAATGATGCCAGGGGCCTCAGAGGGGAGGGGTTCCTGTAGGAGACAACATACTGCTCCCAGAGTTGATCTTTAACCAAGTTCATTAATCTTTCAGTTGTTCCATCAAAATCATATATCATATTCACTGCAATTACTTAACTAATTTAATTTTGCAACCGTCTGCCAGGCCTCAAAATGCATAGAAACACAAGACCTGATAACTTGTCTTCTGATCGCTAATAAAAATCAAATAATTTATTCCTATGCAGTCTCTATAAAACAGGGATGCACTTTATAGCATCCAAAGCTCTAGCTCTATCTGTTTTGATCTTAGCAATGTTCCTGTTCCACTCTGATCTCCATAATGTAATTTAACAAAACAGATTATATACATAGTAGGAAAACATATTCATTATGTTCATGTTCCTTATTACTCAGAAAACTCAATAGGATAACTGAATTTGTGGTAATAATTGTATATAAGTAAAGATGTTATAGTGTTTCGTGGAACCTGCTCCTTGTTTGTGCTGATGTAATTTGTTTCCCCAGAACGCATTACTGGCGCAAGGTCTCGACCACCAGACTGGTGATAACAATAATATACAAGGAGTATGAGGTCATAGAGAGATATTGGCATTGGGAGCTGGCTGCTGTTAGTGTTAGGTCATCTTCACAGTTGTCTGCAACTTGTGTCTTATCTCAATCACTGCTGTACAGGACAAAGAAAAGAGAGTGCCAAGTGAAATATATTCTAAATCTAGATTTATGGTGGGTCAGAATAAGGACACAGATAATAGGTTGAGACAGCCTACACTATATTGCCAAACGTATTGGGATGCTTGCCTTTACATGAACATGAACTTTAATGACATCCCAGTCTTAGTCCGTAGGGTTCAATATTGAGTTGGCCCACCCTTCGCAGCTATAACAGCTTCAACTCTTTTGGGAAGGCTGTCCACAAGGTTTAGGAGTGTGTCCTATGGGAATGTATGACCATTCTTCCAGAAGCACATTTTTAAGGTCAGGCACTGATGTTGGGCAAGAAGGCCTGGCTTGCAGTCTCTGCTCTAATTCATCTCAAAGGTGTTCTATCGGGTTGAAATGAGGATTTTGTGTGCCTTAAGAGTCCCCTTCATTGGAACTAAGGGGCCAAGCCCAAACCCTGAAAAACAACTCCACACCATAATTTCCGCTGCACCAAACTTTACACTTGGCATAATGCAGTCAGGCAAGTACCATTCTTCTGGTAATTGCCAAACCCAGAAACGTCCATTGGATTGCCAGACAGAGAAGCATGATTTGTCACTCCAGAGAACACATCTCCAGTGCTCTAGAGTCCAGTGGCGGCGTGCTTTACACCACTGCATCCAACCCTTTTCATTTCAGTTGGTGATGTAAGGCTTGAATGCAGCTGCTTGGCCATGGAAACCCATTCCATGAAGCTCTCTACACACTGTTGTTGTGCTAATCTGAAGGCCACACAAAGTTTGGAGGTCTTTAGCTATTGACTCTGCAGACAGTTGGCGACTTCTGTGCACTGTACACTTCAGCATGTGGTGACCCCTCTCTGTCATTTTACGTTGCCTACCACTTCGTGGCTGAGTTGCTGTTGTTCCCTTTGCTTCCACTCTGTTATATTACCACTAACAGTTGAATATTTAGTAGCAAGGAAATTTCACGGATGGAGCTATTGCACAAGTGGCAACCTATCACAGTACCACACTTGAATTCACTGAGCTCCTGAGAGCGATCCATTCCTTCACAAATGTTTGTAGAAGCAGTCTGCATGCCTAGGTGCTTGATTTTATACACCTGTGGCCATGGAGGTGATTGGAAAACCTGATTCTAATGATTTTGAGGGGTGTCCCAATACTTATGGCAATATAGTGTATTTTAGAATTTATTGTTCTCTGTCATGCTTTTGTGACAAGAGAGTGCAATTATTAATGGTGAACCAGTAAGAGGTGCATATATACTGATTATTAAAAAAAAAACATTTTTGTTTACACTTGTGGTGCCCTCTGAAGAACAATCAGTGATTGGATCGCCCTTCAGAAAGCATTTGATAAGTGTTGAAGAGGAGTTATATGGCCTCCTTACTGCCTGCTTTAACCTCTTAAATGTTGTACTACTGCACTGCGACTGCACGCATTGAGTGCAGTTGTCTGGCAGATGAAGAGCATTCCCATTTACATGGATCATTTGCGTTTGGTAATATGACAGAGGCATAATTCCTGCCATGGCTGAGAAGGAAAGTATCATGGCTGTGCCATATGTACACCCCCAGCCACTGCCTTCCCAGCTAAAGGGAGAGCAGATGAGAGGTAAAAAGGCAGCTCAACCACAGAGTTTTACCAACTCACCTAATTGTACACAAGCCCTTACAGAATATCCTATCTAGGTGCAGACTGAGTAAAACTGGCACATTTGTTTACAATAAAGTACAAAGTAGCTTGTATAGCATATGTTATATAAATTTGTAATAAAACTGGAGTTTTACTATAACTAAGATAACAGCCAGATATACAGCAGGTTATAGAATAACTGTCAATGCAGGAAGGGTTAAAGTGGAACTCTTACAGATGTTTTTGTAAATCCTGATGTGTAAAGAAATGGTACTTCTTTTGAGTTGTGATCAATGGGCAGATCTCTTCACAGTACCATAAAGTCAATACTTTTGTTTCTCCTGCTGTACATCTGGCCTGCCCCGGATCTGAGAACTACAAGTCTCACAGACGGGAGCCAAAATGTTGTATTTTACACCACCATCACAGCTTAGACTTTCACAATATGCTGAACCCTTCACATAATGTATTACTGGAGAGAAAACATTTCTTTACAGATCAGGTTATACAAAAATATCTGCGCTTGGAGTCAGGTCCGGGACAAGGTCATCTAGTGCCTATAGCAAAGATGCAAAATGGCATCACCCCAAGATGTATGAGCATTATGTGTCAGCAAAAATCCCCTCCCTCCCTCAAATAATTCAAGTAAAGTACTAATCTGCACGCTTATCCCCTAAGGTTAAAGGGGGTTGCCCTTAATCCCCCTTCCAGCTCAAATCTTTCCCTTCCAAAATACCCCTTCCCCCATCAATAATCCTCTACCATTCAATTTCCCCCTTTGAGCACAAATCCTCCTCCCCAAATCCTCCTCTCCTAGCAAAAATCCCCCCAAAACCCCTCTCCAAGCACAAATCCTCCCCCTCCCAAATTTTCCCTCCTAGCACAAATTCCCCTAATCATCCCTGCTAGCACAAATCCCCCTTCCTAATACAAATTCCACCATCCCAAATCACCCCTTCTAGCACAAATCCACCCCCCACATTCCCACTTCTAGCACAAATCCCTCCTCCTGTCAGCTTATAGACAGGAACTCTCCTCATAATGCCCCACACATAACATGATACCACTGCGCCCAGTGCAGTCACCGGTCCTGTCCATCCCTTGTCCTGTCCCTCCTAAGAGTTACACTCTAACCACTTGGTAACCCCGCTATAACCGAATGATGGCTACAGCGCGTTTACCCAGTTCTGGGAGGGCGTCATATGACGTCCTCCAAGAACGCGCGCACCCGGCGATCTCCGTGATCACTGTGTCCTATGGACACAGCTGATCACATGATGAGGTAAAAGGCCAATCACAGCGGCCTTTTACCACGTGATCAGCTGTGTCCAATGATACAGCAGATCATGGAGTAAATACAGTTGCCAGTTATCGGCAGCACTTTCCTCACGCTGTCACAGTGTGAGGAACATACTGCCAATAACCGGCCGCTGTCATAGAGCAGATCGGCACTGATCATCAGGACACTGATGATCAGTGCCCTGATGATCAGTGCCCAGCAGTACCACCCACCAGTGCCCATCAGTGCCTCCCACCAGTGCCCATTGGTGCCACCCAGCAGTGCCACCCATCAGTGCTGCCCAGCAGTTGCTGCCATTAGTGCCCAGCAGTGCCGCCCATAAGTGCCCAGCAGTGTTGCCAGTCAGTGCTGCCAGTCAGGGCTGTCAGTGCCGTCAGTCACCTCCGCCCATCAGTGTCGCCTATCAGTGACCATCATTGCTGCATGTCAGTGCAGCATCATCAGTGCCTCCTCATCAATGCCCACCAGTGCCGCCTCATCAGTGCCAGCTCATCAGTGCAGCCTATCAGTGCCCATCCATGCTGCCTATCTGTACCACCTCATCAGTGCCCATCAGTGCTGCCTATCAGTGCAACCTCATCAACGCACATCAGTGAAGGAGAAAAATTACCTGTTTGCAACATTTTATAATAGAAACACCGAAAAAAAAAAATTTCAAAATGTTTTGCTCTTTTTTGTTTATAGTGCAAAAAATAAAAACCCCAGTGGTAATTAAACACCCTGAAAAGAAATCTCTATTTGTGTGAAAAAAATTATAAAAACCTTATATAGGTACAATGTTACATGACCGTACAATTGTCAAAGTGCAACAGTGCTGAAAGTTGAAAATCACCTGGGCATGAAAGGGGTATAAGTGCCCGGTAGGCAAGTGGTTATGGTGTAAGTTCACCTTTTCACAAAAAAATTAAAAAAAGGTGAACACCCTACACTTCTTACCCCCCCCCCCCGGACTCACCTCCGTGGGAGCCTAGCTGTTACTGCCCTAGTATGTACATATGCCCTAGTCACTGCCCTAGTATGTAAATATAGGAATGTGAGTTAGGGACCTTAGATTGTACACTCCTTGAGGGCAGGAACTTGTGTGAATGTACAGTAAAATATATATATATATATGTAAAGTGCCATGTAAATTGACGGCACTATTTAAGTACCAGTAATAATAATAATAATCATGCTTGTGTAATGTGTGATGGATCATCCACTTGTTAGTTTGCATTGGAAGAGTGTGTGACAGCTTCACAATGTAGGTGTAGAGTTGGAAGACAAGGACCAGTATTGTCTCAACTGGGACCTTCACAGCAGAATCACCAGATATCATTTTAATAAAATCTGCAGATTTAAAATAATATTGGACATGATTTGGATTTTTTACATTTATTTTACATTGGATTTTTGGTATTACATTAACCTGCAGAGATTTTAGTGACTGGGCTTACATATACCCTAACTCCCAGAACCCGCTTCAACATTACTTTCCTGCAATATCTAGGCCATGTATGGGGAGCCTCCTATCTTTCTCATTCATGTTGTATATCAGTAAAATTTACAGTTCTAAGCCAAAATATATTTTAAGAAATCTGCAGTTCACTTATTATATAGAATTATTATGGGAATTTGGAATGTTGATTGTATTTTTTTAGTTGAATCCAGATGTTCACACATCACGGACTATGATGTATTGATACATTTCTATAATTTATAGTAGGTCTCATAATTCTCCTAATGCATTCATTTAGTAGTAACTGTCAGGTTCGCATGCATTCAGGTTAATAGACAAGTTGATAGAGAGCAAAAACATAAGAATGTACAAACAACAAATGAAAAACCATTGGTGGAAAATCCTAAATGTGGGTGAAATTACATTAACCCCTTGGCGCTGTGCCTCCCATCAAAAGGGGTTTGTTAAGCCGGGAGGTGGGATTTATGTACATGTGACCAGCTCCTGATCGCAAGTAGTGATCGGGAGATTTCCAATAGGGAATGTGAAGGGAGTGCGCTCTCGCCACATGTTTGGTCATATCTGGTATGCAATTATGTGGCCTCTCGGCGTCAAGGCCTGCCCACTAAGAGGCTGCATATCTGCGTACTGCCAGCGCCAAGAGGTTAAACAATATCGCTATTCTCCAAACATAATAACTACTTTAGTTGCTCTATGCACACTACAAACCCCTTAGTCCAGGACAGGGCGGACTGACAACTCATGGGGCCCCCAGGCAATAGGGGATCATGGGGCCCCTGTGTCCTTGCCCAAACTGAAAAAAGCCTATGAAAAAGGTACCAGGGGCATCTCATGGGGCCCCCTACTGACCCCGGGCCCACGGGCAGTGCCCGAGTTTCCAAATGGTCAGTCCACCCCTGGTCCAGGAGTATCCAAACATTTCAGTATGAGAGCCACATTGTACATTTTATACATTTTCATGGTCTGAAAAAAAATTGGTTTTAAAATGAAAAAATTACTTTTGAAAAAAAAATAGTTTTACTTGGAAATTTTTGTAACCAGCACAATATGTATTAGAACAGCAGAAAAAAAAAAACTTCAATAAAACAAAGTAAAGAAATTCTCAATGAACTTGTGCCAATCACAGTCCTCTTACATCAAACTCCTCCTTTACATAAGTGTCCACGTTGAAGTCCCCTTCATAAAATCTTGCATCGGGCCAGATTTGGGGACCCCTGCCATAGTCCATATTCCATCTTAAGACTGAGCAAGGGAGGGTGGCTAGGTTCTTGCATACAGTGGGACTATGGAGAAAGAACATAGCAACCCTCAACAGGAAGTCAGCAGCAAAAAAAAAAGGGATTTGGAGATTTGAAAGAGGAAAAGCAATAAACGGAACCTTTTTGAGCTAAATACTTGAATATAATTTCTTCTTTTTAAACCAGTTTAGTGTCAAAATCTGTGAACTGAATCCCAAATGACAATGCATAACTTTTAGTTTTAAATGCAGTGGTTAAATTAACGAGATACAAAAGAAAAAATATAAATCAAAGATTTATATTGTTGGTATGCTGTAGTTAAACTTAATGGAGAGATAATATTTTCAACATTGCATCTTCTCAGTTATTGTTAACACTTTGTCCATTTCTGGGCAGCTACCAACCCTTGTGTGAGTATGGAAGATCTTCAACAAGCATCATTACACAAAATCACATTAGTGGTATCGGAAAAGAAAATACGAGAATGCTAACTTAATAATCATCAGCCGTTTCCTGCCGTTGGTTTATTCAGCAAGGTCAATGTTTTCTGTACGTGCGGGAGACTCATTCATCATCAGTGTGAAATGCTTATCGCTGTCATGGCCTAATGTCACAGGAGAATGACCTGACTTGGCTGATGTCATAATAGTAGAAACGTTAAATGGGATCATTTCTCCTGATTGCTGTGGTTTGGAATTAAGAGCTCCAACTCCTCTGCAATGAATTGTAGAAGGGTCCTTGTTCCAGTGTCTTCTACAGAGGTATGTATTGATCCAATTTTGTAATCTAGAAGGTAAGGCCAATAATATTCCAGGAAATTGTTGTTTGACCAGGTTGCATTGTTGTTTAAAATGGCTATACATGGAAAACATGTTCATTCAATCATTACTAAGGTTAATATCACACTATTATCATTATTATTATACAGTATTTATATAGTGCCAATGGTTTGCTCAGCGCTGTACATTTTAATGGGAGTCAGTACACGAGACAGTACAGAAACAATACAATACAATACACAAGGGGTTCGAGGGCCCTGCTCCTTGGAGCTTACAATCTAGGAAGGAGGGGAGAGTGGTACAGGAGGAAATAGCTGTGGGGGATGGAGTGGTGGGAAGAGTGGAGGAGATCAGCAATTAGGTGAGGACAGGGTAGGCTTCTCTGAAGAGATGGGTTTTCAGGGTGCGCCTAAAGGTGAGGAGGGAAGGTGACAGTCTGATGGATTGGGGTAGTGAGTTCCAGGGGATGGGGGAAGCCCTGGAGAAGGGCATGGGAGGAGGAGACCAGGGAACTGGAGAGTAGGAGGTCTTGTGAGGAGCAGAGAGTGCGTTTTGGGTGGTAGATGGATATCAGGTCGGTGATGTAGTTTGGGGCAGTGTTATGAACAGCTTTTTACATCAATGTTAATATTTTGAATTTTATGCGTTGGGCAATTGGAAGCCAGTGGAGGGATTGGCAGAGGGGGGTGGCGGATACGGAGCGGTTGGTAAGGTGGATGAGTCTGGTCGCAGAATTCAGGATAGACTGAAGTGGGGATAGTCTGTGATGAGGTAGGCCAGCGAGGAGGGAGTTACAGTAGTCAAGTCGTGATATGATAAGGGAGTGAATGATTTGCTTTGTAGTTTCAGGAGTTAGGAACGTGCGTATTTTGGAGATGTTGCGGAGGTTGAGTCTGCATGAATTTGTCAGCAATTGGATCTGGGGCTGGAAAGACAGATTGGAGTCTAGAATGACACCTAGTACTCTGGCTTGCGGGGTAGGGCTGATGGTGGCGTTGTTGGTCGTGATGGAGAGGTCGGGGGGGGCGTGGTCTGGGGGGGGGAAAACTAGGAGCTCGGTTTTGGCAAGGTTTAATTTGAGGAAGTGTGGAGTGACATGCAGTCTGATATGTCGTTCGGAAGGCTAGTGATTCGGGCGGAGACTGAAGGAGTGAGGCGAGGGGTAGAGAGATAAATTTGAGTGTCATCGGCATAGAGATGGTAGTTGAAGCCGTGGGAGTGTATCAGTTGACCAAGTGGTGGTGACACTAGTGGTGGTGTTTACAGCATCCCCAAATCCACAGTGAACTGCTCTTCAGAGGACCTGGAAAGGAGGTTTGCAGGCATTCAGAAGGTGATCCTGATGACTGTTTTTAAATTGCCGAATGACAATTTTGCATTGTGGGACTGTGCCGCAACTGGAAGCCAAGCATATGCCTTACAGTTGTGGCACCGCCACATTTTCTTACATGTGAGAGTTTCAAAGCTGGTGCCAACTGTCAAACTTAGCATGTAGCGATAGAATTGATGTACCCATTGTATCAGTGTGTTCTCATCCAAATGGCATCATGTCTGCTTGTAGGTGGATGGTCAGAGGGTAGTAAAAACCTAGACCAACCTCCTGTTTTAATTCTGCCTGTGTGAAAGGAGCCTTAAAGTGTATCTCCAGCCAAATTTGGTTTTACTTTTAGCTATAGTGGATAAGGACCAGAACCCCTAGCAGGTCTTTACTGATAAGTGGGGCTCTCAGTGGTTCCGCCATTGCAGCAGATTTATACAGCTCTTCTTGCACTTCTTACTGATTGACACTCTTGTTGTGGTTCTAACGTCCAACTGTTTTTCACCTGAATGCATTCCCAGCATTGTGTCATTTTTGTCATTTCTCAATGGATGCACACAGAACAGCTCATGAACACACCTGCATGGGTGCCGCCATAGC